AAAAACCTTGCCAAGAAGACTGCAGGGACTTGTCCAGGCAGTCACCATGAGACAAAAACTGACTTGAAGGGGGGTGGGGAGGAGGAAGAGGAATAATCACAAAATACAAAGACCTGCAAATAGAAATAGAATGACTTTAGCAAAAGAAAGTCAAGATAGTACCAATAGTAATAGGTGCCTTGGCTGCAATCCCAAAACATCTGGAGCACCACTTGAACACCATCGGCATTGACAAAATCACCATCAATCAGTTGCAAAAGGCAGCTTTACTTGGAACAGTTTACATCCTGCGATGATACCTTTCACACCATCAAATAACATCTGCCTATCCCAGATCTTTGGGAAAGACTTGATCAGTGGATGAAAGTGCCAAATCCAGTCTAAACAACTAGCTGACTATGCAACCAACAATATAATAATAATAGATTTTAAAAGAAATGACCCACTTCTTTGAAAATAATATTAAAAGATTGTTTATAATGTTACACTTATTTTATACATGCTTACGTGGGAAGAAACTTCAATGAATTCAGTGGGACTTACAAGCAGTCATCCATAGTAATGCATTATCACTTTTTTTCAGTCTCAGAGTATAACTGTAACTGTGCAAGATTAATTGTGTAGTGAACCTATAATTTGTATTTAATTCATTTTAAATGCATAGTTTATTTCAAGGAATTTTGATATACTGATTGTACAATTGAATACATATCTGGAAGTAAACCCTACTCTATTCTATAGGACTTAATCCCAAACAAAATTTAAAAGATTAGAGTTCAGTACTGTATTCCTATAATCACTTCCTGAGTGTAAGTCTGAATCTATAAGATTGAACTGAGTAGTTGAAAATCTGCACACATTTATCTGGAATAAACTCCATTGAATTCAGTGAGGCTGTCTTCCAAATAAGCATGAATCAAGTTACATGGTAAGACACTATTCAGCAACATATGATATCAGAAACATAAGCAAATGCCTAGTGATGTTCACAGAAAAACAAGGTGACATATATGGCAAAGGCGTTTCTTGCAGTTGTATGGTTGGCTGTCATTGAGAGTTCCCTGAAACCTTATTGCTGACCTTAATATTGGTTAAAAGTAAAAGCTTGTTTCAAGGAAAGCATATATTAAATTGATTAAATTCTCCTCCATGAAGTAAGCCAATACAGTACATGTTTTTGAAGCTCTGCCATATTGAGATTGGCAGCTATTTATGTCTCTTGAGTAATGTATTTCTAGTAAGCAGGTGTGCAGGGCAGCAGTATGAAAACAAGCTTTTATGCTTGTGTAAACTGGCACAGCAGCAATGGCAATCAAATCAAAGACAGAGAAGAAAGTCTCCTAGCTCTGGAACTTGTCTTTTTGGAAGGGTTAACTTGCACAAACTTTTTTTAAAGATTGTTTTATCCTGCCTTTATTATTTTTATAAATAACTGAAGGCGGCAAACATACCTAATACTCCTCCCTCCTCCTATTTTCCCCACAACAACAACCACCCTATGAGGTGAGTTGGGCTGAGAGAGAGAGTGACTGGCCCAAAGTCACCCAGCCAGCTTTCATGCCTAAGACAGGACTTGAACTCACGGTATCCTGATTTCTAGCCTGGTGCCTTAACCGCTAGACCAAACTCAAAACTGTAGGATTGCTGAAGGGGTTAGGGTTGCCCAGGAAATCCACTGGCTCTAATATTTTGACTGATAGGCAAATAGAGGTTCTGATTTATCTGAAAGAATTAGTATTAAAACTATCATCTTGTTGATTAGACCAGGAACTTGAAGATGCTTATTAATCTGAGCATAAATAAAGAGAAATTTCAATTACAGTGAATGGGACTTCTGAAAAGTGTAAATGAATAATAAATTGCAGCCAAATGTTTCTGGTGAATTGTCATATTACAATCTTTAACTGATAGATTTAGGTTATTAACTTTTTATAGTAGCAGTATTTCATTTGAAAAGAGTACCATTTAATGTTAATGTTGATTTCAAGAACTTTATTTAAGGCATATTATTTAAACTGGTTTTTGCTTATTTCTGCCAAAATACTTGTCCTGGTCCATATATCTTCCATCAGCCCTCCCTTATTTGCCCCATAATCGTTATGTTCACCATTTAAAGAAAAATTTGCAGGGCCATATGTTCATTTGTTCATATGAAATTGAACAAATCGGTGCTTTGTGTTTATTTGATCTAACAGTTTATTTTTCTGTCTATTTCTTTAAAGACAAAAATACATGGTCTTGGATTTATAAAAATTCATGCTCCTTGGAATGTTTTGTGCCGGGAAGCAGAATTCATGAAACTGAAGATGCCCACAAAAAAGGTTAGTTTTAATATTCTTTAAGATCAGGAGATCTAAACATTTAAATGACATAACATTAACTTCTTTTCATAGTCTCCTCATAAATTAAATTTGTCTGCCTGTAAGAGAAGCAGAATCCTTAACTAAACTACTTAGTACAGCTTGCAACACAATTTATAGGGCAATGTATGAATTGTAATGCTGCAAGATATAAATGTTTATGCATGTTCACTGCACTGCATCGCAGAAATTTGTTCTGTAAGACATACATAGACATAGTTGGTGCCATTTTGTAGTTAATTCTTATAAATATTTATCACATATCTTTCCAAAAATCGTGCATAAGACAGTCTGCCTGTGTTTGCTTTTGATTCAGCTGCAGTTTTCTTTGTTGCCATCAGTCATCCTGCTCAGCCCATCATAGTATGCTAACTTCACTGATAATCAGTGATGCACAACCTGAAGCTCTTCAGTTAGAACTAGAATGATCTCTATTAACCTTATTGTTTATGGTTTATGGGGTAATAGTCTGAAACATTTGGGATATACAAGGTAGCCAGCAGTCTTCCACAGTTAAGTGACTGCTTGTTATCATTTTCTGATCTCACATCACAAAACCACAGTTGTCTTAAATGTGCATGCATGCTGAGGTCTAAAATGTTAGATTTTATGTCAGATGCTCAGCATTCTAGACAGCCTGTAGAATGGCAATTCAGCACACATAAAGAAACAGCACATGCTTGAGAAAATTTCAAGAAAAAGAATTATCTACATGCTAAATAAAGCAGATTTTTAAAAATAAAAACTGACTACACTAAAGCGAACAAGGCCATTATCTGTTCTACAGACATAAACCTGTGTAGCTATCATGCCTTAACTTTGCTAAATTTCTTCTTTCCTAGACATAGTTTATGAGACTACAGTTCTAGAGGATCCTGTGAGAGGATGGGATGGATCATCATAGTAAGAATAAATTTACTGAAATCATGACTAACATATCATTACTTAAGTCCCATTGATTTCAGTGAGTTTACTTAATGCCCTAAACATAATAAGTTCAAACATAATAAGTTTCAAACATAATAAGTTTTGGGCTTAGTGTAATGAGTGAACCTACCCATTATAGCTTAGTGTTACATCTAAACCTGACCACTAGGTACAACAAACTATTGCTTAAAACATTTTAGCCAGTGTCTTACTGTGGAAATTTTAATCCGTGTGTATATAAATAGGGTGATTTCTGTGTTTTCAGTCAATACTTCTCTCACTATAGAAAGTTTGAAAAGTCAAATTATCTTAATGGTTACATTATGGTGAGATTATGATTTTATATATAGACATGGACATGTGAATTACTATGTCTGTGTCTAATATTACGCAAGCATAAAAGCACTAGTAGAATCTAGTCTTAATTTCTAATGAATATTTGAAGTATCATTCTAAAAGCCCATTGTCACCAGAGAATATTATATGATGAATATTAAGCTTTTGAGAAATGTGTCTGTACCTGTTCAGGGTGCAAAATTGAGAAATGGATCAATATTTAATGACATACTAAGTGCAGAACCCAGACTCTGCAGGGAAATGTCTCTAATGGAAGAAGAGACAGCATTAGAGTACAAAGTAATTTTTTTTAAGTAAAACTAAAATTAAACTTTAGGTTTGAATTTTGTATCAGTAGCTGATCTAGTTCTATTTATCATATTATTTATTTTAATTGTATTTCCAAATTTAAAATAGCCCATCCATCATTTTTAAAAATTTTGAATTAAAGAGATTGGAAGGAATCGAGTCTCCTTGGCCAGAAAAATGATAGTAATATGATCCAAACCAGTAAGGACAAGGTGCTGTGAGCAGAGCTCTGTATAACATAATGGGGGATATATTATAAACAAAAATTTGCTTTGTTTGTTTGCTCATAGAAAGTTTATGTCATGTGGAAATTATCCTCCATCTTCTGTTGATCGAAGCCACTCTGTCATAATTAGAATCATAATTGCACAAGATATTTGTTCCTATGGTTCTATCTTTATCTGACCTTTCATTTCAACATTTGGACACCACTACCCATGATGATTTTCTAATTTTAATTATCCTGTTTCAGAGTTTTACTTCTTTTAAGCCTTGGTATGTTCTGCAAATGACTTAAATGGAGTAATTTTTTAAAGCGACAACAACAACATTTCTTTTCAATCCTTAGGTGTATCAAATTCATCAACCTCATGGCCTTTTGAAGAAGATCAATTCTGTAATTCAAAAAATAACAGAACCCATTCAACCTAAAGTGGCAGAACACAAGCATCAGACAGTGAAACGCCTTTCCTATCCCTTCTCAAGGGAGAAGCAACACTTGTAAGTCAAATTTCATCAGTTTTAGTTAACGTCATTTACAACAGAATTGGCCCCCGGGAATACCACTAGGCTCAAACATGTGAACATTAATAGAAACATGTAGGCTTGTGTTTGGATACAACTTGCACTAAATTTATCATTTTTTCCAAATAAACAGGATCTTGCTAGCTCATGGAAGGTTTTTGTCACGATGAACTTCCTTAAGGACTTATGGCATAATCCTATACTTGTCCATGTGCAAGTTAAATCCCACTGAATTCAAGTAACTCCCCCAAGTAAGCAGGTATAGGATTGCAGTTTAAGGCTATAGCTCTGTCCAGACTGATTGGGAAGTAAGCCAATTGAATCTAGTCAGGCTTGCTTCCAAAGACACATAAGTAGCATGATATGCAAAATATTTGGACTGCACAAAACTAAGAGTATTAAAAGAAGGGTAGATAGCTTATTTGGTTGTTTTTTCTTTATTAAAAACCACACTTTTCCAAAAATGGTTCAAGAAAGAAAGCATCCAAACAGCATCACATTCTATGGCCAAGTTGTCATGTAACCTCTTCACCGCAAGCAAAATACAATCCAAACCATGAGAAAAGCAACCTGTTAAAAGTTCAGAAACAGTAGGTCTTGGTGGGCGTTACAAGGAAAAACAGCACACAGTCAATTAAAATACATGACTTCTGCTGGGAGACTAGTTGGCTTCCTTGTGCAGATGTTGGCCACTGTAAGAACAGACTGCTGGACTAGATGGGCTAGGGATCTGATCCAGCAGGGCATTTCTTATGTTCCAATTTGGTCTCCATGTGACAAAATTCTATTTATTTATTTATTTTATTGATTGATCATATTTATATAGCTGCCATCTCACAAAAGAGTGACTCGCGTTTATTGATCATATTTATGTAGCCACCCATCTCACAAAAGAGTTTAGCAATCATTGCAGGATATTTCTCAACTAAGTAAAGAATGTGTCTTTTAGTTTATAGCAATACAACTATGTACCCCCTTATGATTTTACTGTGTATTTTTTCTTGAAAAACAGTGTTTTCATATGGTAATGTACATATCAACAGAGAGCCCCATCAGAATTGTAGATGGAAGCAACAGATGCTACACACTATCTAGAAAGCGGCAGGAATTGTTGAGATTGAATATGACATCCTACAGGAAAGGGATTGGACATAAGTTCAATGGCTGAAAGCTTTTGAACTCTGGGGCTTCAAAAGATGAGTAGTTGCTGTCTGAAGACTATGATTGAAATCAAGTTGAAAAGAATTTACCAAACATTAAGACTGCTTGTATATTGCTTTACATTTATTCAGTTCTTCCTTTCCTTTTTCTAATATTTTCACAGGTTTGACCTCTATGATAAAGATTCCTTTTTTGATAGCAAAACTAGAAGTACCATAGTAAGTATGTATGTATTGGTAAAGTATTGCAGTAATCTGGTATTCCTCTTCAGCTGTTTTCGTGATTTCTATACAATTCCCTGTATGAATAATCTACATCAGTGACTCATGCAGCTCCCAGTCATCTTAATTTTTAATGTGACAGAAGAGGAAAATCATTAAATATGTGACTGTAGAGTATAATGCTGTTTAATGTTAATTAAATGTAAATGAAGTAAAATAAAATTGAGTTCTTCTCCCAGCCCACTATTCTTTTGAAGCGTGATTCTCAGTTCAGAAAAAGTTCTGCATGCCTACTAGTCAGTCTAAAAATAAATGTTTTATTATTTTTTAAGCTAAGAAAAGAAAAAACAAAAACAATAACCAAGTGCAATCATAAATGGTAACACAAAAAACAAAACAAGATAAACCAAAAATTAAGTAGAGCAGCAAAAAAACTCAAACAATTTTTTTAGAAACCACAAATGGATTAGTTAAAATGGATTAACTGATTTTTGTTGCCCAGTCTTAAAACACTATGCTAATATACAAACATATACAATATCTACAATACATCTACAACAGAGTTTTATAGTTTTCCCAATATGTTGCAAAATACGTTGCTGTTGTATTGCAGGATAAATATCTAGGACTAAGATATGCCAAATAATTTACAGCCTGTGAATGCATTTCTGCTAGTGCACGAGAGCTTTCTTCTTCACTTCTCCCATTGCAGTCCCCTCCACATATGCCACCAAAGTCTGTTTCAGAGAATTGGGAAGACTTTGGGAGCAGATTCTGAGGACACATGAAGAAGCTTCAAGGTGGTAGAAAAGTATCTCCTGGTTCTGCTGATACAAACAATTCCCACAGCTGAAAAACTTAATTAGTTTTCTCACCTTCATTCTTCTTCATAACAATCCTGTAACATAAGGGAAGGATACTCCAATTAAGAGCTCAAGGTTCCCAACTGAACAGGAAGGTAAAGGACAGTGGCCTTTCCTGTTTTCTTCTCCCTTAAAGTTGTATATAGAAATGCTGTTATTCCAATGTAATAGAGCTCTTGTATTTTGCCTGGTGTGCTTCTGCAGCATGTTGCCAAAATATTAGTTTCGTATGTATACTAAACCAACTTGAATTATATCTCTTTTCTATAGGTAGAAGTAGTAGGAAATATAAGGGAATAAATGCTGTTAAATACATTATTCTATAGTTCATTCTTTATTCAGGACACTGAATAAAGTTTTCACTCCCTGAAAAAGATGAGATGAATGGGATAATTTTCCATACATAGCAAAGTAGCCCCAAGTTCGTAATGTAATCCTCAGTGAACTTAGGTAGTCATGTAGTTGGATGTACAGGGCTTAAATAGTCATGGAATTGGATGTACAGAAATTCTTCTCTCACTGGCTTAGTTATGAATTTACTGATGGAGGCTACATTTCCGTGTCACAAGTGATGGAGTGGTTTGTTAGTTAATGGCTTTGTATAATGGCTGAACACACACTGATGGCTAAAAAAATGGTTAGCTAGAATCTCTAACTGTGGTTTGTTCCTAGCTTGCCTCTTGAGGTTGTATATTAGCATTATGTATGAAGGCAGGCTTCTGGTTAGCTAATAACAATCCTCTAAGGGAAAACAAGACTGTTGAAAGGGATTTCATAAACAGCTTCAACAGTAGCTCTTTGCCAAAAATAATTTCTTCAGAATCCAAAGAGAGTCATTTTTCTGAAGAAGATACTGGAGAGAATTAGGAATGCCTATCCTATATGTTGGGTCCATTCCAGATGTGCCCTCCACTTCTTGAGAACCAAAAGCATAAACAACAGATTTCAATGTTTTTTATACGTCATTTTGTTAACAACAGAAGTTGACTCAATGGATTGCTAATCGGGTATTGAAACCATGCCAACAGTATGGTATAAGAAGAAGAAGATAGTGATTAATTAGGAAAAGTACTCTGACCCTTAACCAGAGCAAGTTAGAAGGTCAGGCATAATATGCATACTAGGCCTGTAACAGCTAGGAGTAGTAAAATGGAACATCATGTGGAAAGACAGCCATAGAAACAAGCTGTGGCAGAGAGATAATATTTATGTATGTGGTTGTTCATCTGTTAATAAACAATGCAAAACTATAATTGAACCAGTTTTTATGAGCTTATATAAGCGTATTCTCTTTGGGAAAAAATGCAGAACTTGACCAGCTTCCCCCTTTTAGTTCACTAATTCTCCTTCTTCCCTACGTTTTTTTTCTAAGTTCATTTTTATTGTAATTTTAACTATACGTTGATATAAAGAACTTTTCCAGAGGAGTTGCTTAGAGGCAGTGTTTGCACAGCATGCTTGCAGGCTGAACTGGGTTTGTCTTTTGTTTCTTAGCATATTGTGCAACTGTTTTTTTAAATTTATGTTTTAGTTTATTGTGCAAAACCGGAAAAATCAGTAATCAGGGTAAATACACTTTGTAAATGAAGAGTCACCCATTCCCTGCTGTAGTGGGGCAAAACACATTTGGAGTTGTTTGGGAATATCTGTACTACTGTTGCTGTTCTGACCTGCATATCTGTCCTCCATTCACTTCACTTGGCAGGAAATGCTTCTGTTCAAAAACTAACCAATCATCTATTGTCTCTGCCACTCTTCTGTAGGTTCTTCCCCCTTAGCATCTGAGTGTGAGGTGAGCAGGCCTGGAACTGATGCCAAACTCCTTGGCCCTCTTTTAGAAAAAGATACTGGGGTTCAGTGGCATCATGGGGGGTTCAAATCAAATCAATCTTTATTATGGTCATAGACCAGTGTAAGGCACAGAATGGGTAATAAAAGAAGGCCTAGGAACATAAAAGGTACAGTGGTACCTTGGGTTACGAACGCCTCTGCTTACGAACTTTTCGGGTTACGACCAGCTCCGGCTGCAAAAATTTACCTCGGTTTGCGAACTCCGCCTCGGGGTACAAACCGGATCCGCGGCCATTTTCCACCGTGACACGTGGTCCGTGGCCATTTTCCACCCTTGACGCGTGGTCCGCAGACGCCAGAATGGATTAACGGTAATTACATTGAACCTTATGGGAAAATTTGCTTCGGGTTGCCACCCTTGACGCGTGGTCCGCAGACGCCAGAATGGATTAACGGTAATTACATTGAACCTTATGGGAAAATTTGCTTCGGGTTGCAAACAAATCAGGTTGCGACCAGAGTCACGGAACAGATTAAATTCATAACCCGAGGTACCACTGTATATGGCAGGGGCCCCCAAACTCTTCAGCTCATCAACCCCTTCATGAAGTTTCAGATTGCTCATTGACCCAGAAAACATTTATTATATGAAAATAATCTAATAAATACTACTTTAATTAATAGTACTACAAATCATAATAACAACAATAATAATGGATAGTCCCACTGACCCTTTGGGGTTGATATTGACCCCTTTGGAGAACCCTAATAGAGTGGGACATGACAAGTTGTACAGAATACATATTAAAAAATAAGATACAGTAAAAGACTGTAAGCTGCTAGGCAATAAAATACTCTGTTGTAGCAGACTAGGGGCACTCAGAGACTAAGCTGTAAGGTTGGGTGCTAAGCCCAAGTCAGAAGTTATCATCTAGTGAATTTGGAGCACTGCTACACAGAGTGCTGTATGTTGTGGCAGGGTTGATGTCTGAAAGCAGCAGGGAAGAGTAAAATTGTTTGCAGTAATAGTTGGATTCGGTTGCTGCAAATATCTCTGTAATACAAGCACTGGAGGAGGACATGCTCTGTTGTTTCTACATGCCCAGATTCACATTTGCTGTTCTGAGAAGGGAGTCTTTCCATATCTCCTTCGAGCATGGCTGAAGGGAGAGTGTGACATTCTGGTAAAGTAAAGCCCATTCTGGGCTTTGGGACTTCCAGTTGTGTAGCATATGCCATGGGGGAGACAGAATACCTGAGACTTTGGCTGATGAAGTAGTTTGGGGCCCTGGCTAAGTCAGACTGCTACTCTGCATATGTTATGTGTTGTTTAATAACAGCTTTGGCCTGACCATACAGGTTTGTTTGTTTGTTTTTGTCTGCGCCCAGTCATTGCTGACCCTGCAGTGACTACTTGGACGAGTCCTTGCAGTTTTCAAGGCAATTGTTTT